CTCTCTTCCGTTATTGAGTAGTCCGGCCCTTGGTGTAGTCCGGCCCTTGGTGTAGTCCAGCCCTTGGTGTAGTCCAGCCCTTGGTGTAGTCCAGCCCTTGGTGTAGTCCGGCCCTTGGTGTAGTCCGGCCCTTGGTGTAGTCCGGCCCTTGGTGTAGTCCGGCCCTTGGTGTAGTCCGGCCCTTGGTGTAGTCCGGCCCTTGGTGTAGTCCGGCCCTTGGTGTAGTCCGGCCCTTGGTGTAGTCCGGCCCTTGGTGTAGTCCAGCCCTTGGTGTAGTCCGGCCCTTGGTGTAGTCCGGCCCTTGGTGTAGTCCGGCCCTTGGTGTAGTCCGGCCCTTGGTGTAGTCCGGCCCTTGGTGTAGTCCGGCCCTTGGTGTAGTCCGGCCCTTGGTGTAGTCCGGCCCTTGGTGTAGTCCGGCCCTTGGTGTAGTCCGGCCCTTGGTGTAGTCCAGCCCTTGGTGTAGTCCAGCCCTTGGTGTAGCCCTTGGTGTAGTCCGGCCCTTGGTGTAGTCCGGCCCTTGGTGTAGTCCGGCCCTTGGTGTAGTCCGGCCCTTGGTGTAGTCCGGCCCTTGGTGTAGTCCGGCCCTTGGTGTAGTCCGGCCCTTGGTGTAGTCCGGCCCTTGGTGTAGTCCGGCCCTTGGTGTAGTCCAGCCCTTGGTGTAGTCCGGCCCTTGGTGTAGTCCGGCCCTTGGTGTAGTCCGGCCCTTGGTGTAGTCCGGCCCTTGGTGTAGTCCAGCCCTTGGTGTAGTCCGGCCCTTAGTGTAGTCCAGCCCTTGGTGTAGTCCGGCCCTTGGTGTAGTCCGGCCCTTGGTGTAGTCCAGCCCTTGGTGTAGTCCAGCCCTTAGTGTAGTCCAGCCCTTGGTGTAGTCCAGCCCTTGGTGTAGTCCGGCCCTTGGTGTAGTCCAGCCCTTGGTGTAGTCCAGCCCTTGGTGTAGTCCGGCCCTTGGTGTAGTCCAGCCCTTGGTGTAGTCCGGCCCTTGGTGTAGTCCAGCCCTTGGTGTAGTCCGGCCCTTGGTGTAGTCCAGCCCTTGGTGTAGTCCGGCCCTTGGTGTAGTCCGGCCCTTGGTGTAGCCCGGCCCTTGGTGTAGTCCGGCCCTTGGTGTAGTCCGGCCCTTGGTGTAGTCCAGCCCTTGGTGTAGTCCAGCCCTTGGTGTAGTCCGGCCCTTGGTGTAGTCCGGCCCTTGGTGTAGTCCAGCCCTTGGTATAGTGAACCCCAGGGCCGACCATCCACGAGGCCATGAACCCCAGGGGCGGCCATCAACGGGGCCATGAACCCCAGGGCCGACCATCAACGGGGCCATGAACCCCAGGGGCGGCCATCAACGGGGCCATGAACCCCAGGGGCGGCCATCAACGGGGCCATGAACCCCAGGGCCGACCATCAACGGGGCCATGAACCCCAGGGGCGGCCATCAATGGGGCCATGAACCCCAGGGGCGGCCATCAATGGGGCCATGAACCCTAGGGGCGGCCATCAATGGGGCCATGAACCCTAGGGGCGGCCATCAATGGGGCCATGAACCTCAGGGCCGACCATCAACGGGGCCATGAACCCCAGGGCCGACCATCAACGGGGCCATGAACCCCAGGGGCGGCCATCAACGGGGCCATGAACCCCAGGGCCGACCATCAACGGGGCCATGAACCCCAGGGGCGGCCATCAATGGGGCCATGAACCCCAGGGGCGGCCATCAATGGGGCCATGAACCCCAGGGGCGGCCATCAATGGGGCCATGAACCCCAGGGCCGACCATCAACGGGGCCATGAACCCCAGGGGCGGCCATCAATGGGGCCATGAACCCCAGGGGCGGCCATCAACAGGGCCATGAACCCCAGGGGCGGCCATCAACAGGGCCATGAACCCCAGGGGCGGCCATCAACAGGGCCATGAACCCCAGGGGCGGCCATCAACAGGGCCATGAACCTCAGGGGCGGCCATCAACAGGGCCATGAACCTCAGGGGCGGCCATCAACAGGGCCATGAACCCCAGGGGCGGCCATCAACGGGGCCATGAACCCCAGGGGCGGCCATCAACAGGGCCATGAACCCCAGGGGCGGCCATCAACAGGGCCATGAACCCCAGGGGCGGCCATCAACGGGGCCATGAACCCCAGGGGCGGCCATCAACAGGGCCATGAACCTCAGGGGCGGCCATCAACAGGGCCATGAACCCCAGGGGCGGCCATCAACAGGGCCATGAACCCCAGGGGCGGCCATCAACAGGGCCATGAGCCTCAGGGCCGACCATCAACGGGGCCATGAACCCCAGGGGCGGCCATCAACGGCCATGAACCCCAGGGGCGGCCATCAACAGGGCCATGAACCCCAGGGGCGGCCATCAACAGGGCCATGAACCCCAGGGGCGGCCATCAACAGGGCCATGAACCCCAGGGGCGGCCATCAACAGGGCCATGAACCCCAGGGGCGGCCATCAACGGGGCCATGAACCCCAGGGGCGGCCATCAACGGGGCCATGAACCCCAGGGGCGGCCATCAACAGGGCCATGAACCCCAGGGGCGGCCATCAACGGGGCCATGAACCTCAGGGGCGGCCATCAACGGGGCCATGGACCTCAGGGCCTCCTTCAGGAGGTGGTCTTCGCCTCCAGAGCCTCACGCCTCATCCTTCACACAGCACATGTCAACGATGCCATGAGTTGTTTATGAGCCGTCACGGGCACTGTTGTGACACGGCCCTTAGTGGTGGGGTGGGGGTCGGGGGTAGGTGGGGGTGTTTATTGTGGGGGGTGGGTCGGGAGAGGTGGGGGTCGAGAGAGGAACAACAAGGTTGGCACGCCTGCACGGGGAGCCAGGGGCCAGGACTCACGAGTACATTCGAAACCTCTACATCTTTTCGTAATCTTTGACCGCTTTGTTTACATTTATGAAACCTTTTACAAGTTCCAAAACTTTCCAGTGTCAACTATTATTATTATTATTATTGTTATAATCAGCAGTCTCCGTGGTGCAGTGGTAAGACACTCGCCTGGCGTTCCGCGAGCGCTTTGTCATGGGTTCGTATCCTGGCCGGGGAGGATTTACTGGGCGCAAATCCTTAACTGTAGCCTCTGTTTAACGCAACAGTAAAATGTGTACTTGGATGAAAAAACTATTCTTCGCGGCGAGGATCGTATTCCAGGGACCTGCCCGAAACGCTACGCGTACTAGTGGCTGTACAAGAATGTAACAACTCTTGTATATATCTCAAAAAAAATATCAGCTTTCTAGCGCTTCGGAACCCACATAATGTTTAATAAATGTAAAACAATGCCCCTCAACATGGAGGAAAAATGTCCTGTTCGTAAGTGGATGCGTATATACTTGTTGAAAGTTGTAACTGGTTGGCACGCCTGGGGCGTTGGGGGGAGGTTCCTGGTTGGCACGCCTGGGGGGACGGAGCCTGGTAGGCACGCCTGGGGGACGGAGCCTGGTTGGCACGCCTGGGGGACGGAACCTGGTTGGCACGCCTGGGGGGACGGAGCTTGGTTGGCACGCCTGGGGGGGAACGGAGCCTGGTTGGCACGCCTGGGGGGACGGAGCCTGGTTGGCACGCCTGGGGGGACGGAGCCTGGTTGGCACGCCTGGGGGGACGGAGCCTGGTTGGCACGCCTGGGGGGACGGAGCCTGGTTGGCACGCCTGGGGGGACGGAGCCTGGTAGGCACGCCTGGGGGGACGGAGCCTGGTTGGCACGCCTGGGGGGACGGAGCCTGGTTGGCACGCCTGGGGGGACGGAGCCTGGTTGGCACGCCTGGGGGGACGGAGCCTGGTTGGCACGCCTGGGGGGACGGAGCCTGGTTGGCACGCCTGGGGGGACGGAGCCTGGTTGGCACGCCTGGGGGGACGGAGCCTGGTTGGCACGCCTGGGGGGACGGAGCCTGGACACGGTGAATCTTTAACACTTCTCTTACCACTCACACAACTCTCAAGGGGATTCATGCACTTTAAAAGGGTGTCGAGTCCCTCGCAGGAAACACTCTGGGTGGACAGACTCAAGTGTGTTGTCTGATAATATTGAGGCCATCGCTGAGAGGCCTGGCCAGGCTCACCAACATGTGCTTCCCTCCTCTTAACTTTCCTCTGAAGAACGCACTCACCAGTACATAATATTTTTAACAAATCATTATTTCCTTCATATATTCATGTATAATGTATAATACATATGTATGTTATACATGTAGTAAATTATTCATCAATTCCTTAGAACCTCTGTTGACAGTGTTGCAAATTCTCTCTCTCTCTATATATATATATTAATTTGCCATCATAATATTCATACATAAGGAGTCTACAGTACCCACTACAGCAGGGTACACCCAGGGTGTACCATAGTACCCACTACAGCAGGGTACACCCAGGGTGTACCAGAGTACCCACTACAGCAGGGTACACCCAGGGTGTACCAGAGTACCCACTACAGCAGGGTACACCCGGGGTGTACCATAGTACCCACTACAGCAGGGTACACCCAGGGGGTACCAGAGTACCCACGACAGCAAGGTACACCCCAGGTGTACCAGAGTACCCACAACAGCAGGGTACACCCAGGGGGTACCAGAGTACCCACTACAGCAGGGTACACCCAGGGGGTACCAGAGTACCCACTACAGCAGGGTACACCCCAGGGTGTACCATAGTACCCACTACAGCAGGGTACACCCGGGGTGTACCAGAGTACCCACAACAGCAGGGTACACCCGGGGTGTACCAGAGTACCCACAACAGCAGGGTACACTCAGGGTGTACCAGAGTACCCACAACAGCAGGGTACACCCGGGGTGTACCATAGTACCCACAACAGCAGGGTACACCCGGGGTGTACCATAGTACCCACTACAGCAGGGTACACCCAGGGGGTACCAGAGTACCCACAACAGCAAGGTACACCCAGGGTGTACCTGAGTACCCACAACAGCAGGGTACACTCAGGGTGTACCAGAGTACCCACGACAGGAGGTTGAACACGTAAGAGTAATATAAAGAGTGAGAGGCGAGACGTACCTTCTGATTCATGTAGTAGGGATCAATGTCCTCAAGCGGCGTGCCCACCAGCTCGTCGGGGAACATCTGCTGAAGGCGATTAGGGAGCGGCATGCCCTGCTCCAGGTTGGGGTCGGCCTGGGGCCCCTCGTCGTCATCGTCTTCATTGTAGACAGCCTGAGTGTGGTGGTCCCGGGTGGGGAGATTAGTATGGGCAAGTGGCAAGGATTCCCCAGTGGCACTTTCCTCACAGTAAAACCCTCTTCTCTCTCTCTCTCTAATCCACAATACCTTCGTTGGAAGTCTACCAGTACCCGTCGTCTTCTAGTACAAGCCCACAACATGGGAGCTACCAGTACCTGTCTCCTAGTACAAGCCCACAACATGGGAGCTACCAGTACCTGTCTCCTAGTACAAGCTCACATCATGGGAGCTACCAGTACCTGTCTCCTAATGCAAGCCCAAAACATGGGAGCTACCAGTACCTGTCTCCTAGTACAAGCTCACATCATGGGAGCTACCAGTACCTGTCTCCTAATGCAAGCCCAAAACATGGGAGCTACCAGTACCTGTCTCCTAGTACAAGCTCACATCATGGGAGCTACCAGTACCTGTCTCCTAGAACAAGCTCACGTCATGGGAGCTACCAGTACCTGTCTCCTAGTACAAGCTCACATCATGGGACCTACCAGTACCTGTCTCCTACTACAAGCTCACGTCATGGGGAGCTACCAGTACCTGTCTCCTAGTACAAGCTCACATCATGGGACCTACCAGTACCTGTCTCCTACTACAAGCTCACGTCATGGGGAGCTACCAGTACCTGTCTCCTAGTACAAGCCCAAAAGATGGGAGCTACCAGTACCTGTCTCCTAGTACAAGCCCACAACATGGAGAGCTACCAGGACCCGTCTCAACACCACGAGCAGTTCTGTCTCACCCACCTGTCTTTCTAACAGCAAAGTGTATTGGCCTTACTCTCTGATATGGAACCATAGAGGCGAGGAAGGTACACCTACGATGAGAGCTTTATTTCCTTGTTTACATCAGGATAAAGTTGTAACATGTATCTGTCTGGCGAATACAAGCTGACAATTAATAGCAAAAACTAAACTATCATCTAACTTTGAAGCAAAAAATATTGACTATGAACCCGGAGGTGTAAAGGAACAGCCGTATATGTCCTCTGAGCCTGCACCGGCCTGGCCTTCACCACAGCATCCACACCCTCTGTGGCCAGCTGGGCTGTTTGGTCTAGTATACCCAGCCTTCTCTGCTGTGTGTCCAGCCTTCTCTGCTGTGTGTCCAGCCTTCTCTGCTGTGTGTCCAGCCTTCTCTGCTGTGTGAGCAGCCTTCTCTGCTGTGTGTCCAGCCTTCTCTGCTGTGTGTCCAGCCTTCTCTGCTGTGTGTCCAGCCTTCTCTGCTGTGTATCCAGCCTTCTCTGCTGTGTATCCAGCCTTCTCTGCTGTGTACCCAGCCTTCTCTGCTGTGTACCCAGCCTTCTCTGCTGTGTGCCCAGCCTTCTCTGCTGTGTGCCCAGCCTTCTCTGCTGTGTGCCCAGCCTTCTCTGCTGTGTGCCCAGCCTTCTCTGCTGTGTGCCCAGCCTTCTCTGCTGTGTACCCAGCCTTCTCTGCTGTGTACCCAGCCTTCTCTGCTGTGTATCCAGCCTTCTCTGCTGTGTACCCAGCCTTCTCTGCTGTGTGTCCAGCCTTCTCTGCTGTGTGTCCAGCCTTCTCTGCTGTGTATCCAGCCTTCTCTGCTGTGTATCCAGCCTTCTCTGCTGTGTACCCAGCCTTCTCTGCTGTGTATCCAGCCTTCTCTGCTGTGTATCCAGCCTTCTCTGCTGTGTGCCCAGCCTTCTCTGCTGCAGGCTTTGGCAATAAGTAGAATTATATAAACCAAAATTTGCATTTCCGGAGGCTGAATGATCAAAGATGGTTGTGATAACAGCGTGACCCAGCAGGCACCATCACCACCCGGCGGTAGAGGAGAGGACGCGTCCACTGTGTCTGTGACGGCGTCTACCCCGGCGGTAGAGGAGAGGACGCGTCCACTGCGTCTGTGACGGCGTCTACCCCGACGGTAGAGGAGAGGACGCGTCCACTGCGTCTGTGACGGCGTCTACCCCGACGGTAGAGGAGAGGACGCGTCCACTGCGTCTGTGACGGCGTCTACCCCGACGGTAGAGGAGAGGACGCGTCCACTGCATCTGTGACGGCGTCTACCCTGACGGTAGAGGAGAGGACGCGTCCACTGCGTCTGTGACGGCGTCTACCCCGACGGTAGAGGAGAGGACGCGTCCACTGCGACTGTGACGGCGTCTACCCCGGCGGTAGAGGAGAGGACGCGTCCACTGTGTCTGTGACGGCGTCTACCCCGACGGTAGAGGAGAGGACGCCTCCACTGCGACTGTGACGGCGTCTACCCCGGCGGTAGAGGAGAGGACGCGCCCACTGTGTCTGTGACGGCGTCTACCCCGGCGGTAGAGGAGAGGACGCGTCCACTGCGACTGTGACGGCGTCTACCCCGGCGGTAGAGGAGAGGACGCGTCCACTGCGTCTGTGAGGGCGTTTACGGGTCCGGGGAGCTGGCTTGGCTTGGGACCTTATCGCTTCAGGAAATATATAACCCACACTGGAGGCGCTCACCTCAATACGGAAATGCAATTTCCTGGTGAGGTCATAACTGAGTTGACCGCCCTCAGCCCCTACTACATCACCCCCCTTCCCTCTCCCCTTTCCCGCCGCGCCTCAACCCCTTCCATCACTACATACTCCGTTCCGTTTAATTTGTGTTTCTTTACTCCTTCTGGCCCATTTGCTTGTTTTCGTGTTTTGAGTTTGTATTTCACATCGTAAACATTTCTATTCTCTTTGACATTACAGATCAGGTGTGTTGAGCATCATTCATCTCGGCTCCTCCCGGCCTTCAGCTTCCACGACCACTATCTGGCAACACCTTACTTCTGCTCTCATCTTTATTGTATCTTTTGTGTAGGTAGTAAATCTGGGCCTGTGTGTCAGGCGTTGTTACACTCTCTCTCTTATGCTGATCTAAGCTCAAAACTGTAAGCACATGATTAATGCAAGAAATACATGTATATAGATAAGCCTTAACGAGGTGTTCCCCTAATCAAGGATGAGGCTGCCTGGGCTATATCACCCACCCAGTGCTGACCTGACCCAACGGTGCTTAACCTCACTTAACAACGAGACGCGCACATTACTGGTGTTTCATTACGTGAACACAACACGGTCGTCCTTAACATGGCCGCAATCCACAGCTCTCATACTTCCCAAATTGGAAATATGAGTTTCCTGTTTTCCTTTAGTAAACGTTCCTTTAGGCCTAAGTATATCATAGGTCTCGAGGATCTGCATCTGGGGTATTTACCTTGAAGAAATTCCTTGTGCTTTTCCATCAATAGAGGGTTTGCTCTCCTCATGAAGGCAGCATCCTTTTGTGTACTGGTGAGGACTGCTTGCTCGGAGCGAGGGGTAGTGTGGCATGGTACACTATCACCAAAGATCCAGTGTCACAAGGCGGGTTAGGTGGCAGTTGTGGTGTTGGTGAGGCCTCTGGAGACTCCTCCGGGGAGGTGTTGACTGTTCCAGCCCGCCTCCTCTCCTCCCTATACTGTTGCCCACTATGTCGAAGCTCTCTCCTAAAGCTGACCTACTCTATGGCTAGTTCCAGTTTCCAGACTTTACTGTATATTTCTGGGCGTGTGTGAAAGGTTAAGCAAGCTCTCAACGTGTGTGTGTGTGTGTGTGTGTACTCACCTAGCTGTGCTTGCGGGGGTTGAGCTTTGGCTCTTTGGTCCCGCTTCTCAACCGTCAATCAACAGGTGTACAGGTTCCTGAGCCTACTGGGCTCTATCATATCTACATTTGAAACTGTGTATGGAGTCACCCTCCACCACATCACTTCCTAATACATTCCATTTACTAACTACTCTGACACCCAAGAAGTTCTTTCTAATGTATCTGTGTGGCTCATTTGGGTACTCAGCTTCCACCTGTGTCCCCTTGTTCGTGTACCACCCGTGTTAAATAATCCATCCTTGTCTACCCTGTCAATTCCGCAGAGAATTTTGTATGTGGTGATCATGTCTCTCCGAGCTCGTCTGTCTTCCAGCGAGTGTGTGTGTGTGAGAGAGAGAGAAGTAATTCCCAACTATAAAAGATCTATGATTGGAGTAACAGTATTTACAGAAGTATATCTAAGCAGTTATAACTAACGTCAAGATATTCTGAGGCCTCGCCAAGGTTATGGGACTAACTACTCGCGGTCCAATAGTAACTAGCTACTCACAGACCACTAGTGACTAGTTACTGACAGACCACTAGTTAATAGTACCCTCAGGCCACTAGTGACTAGAATATTCATCCGGGTCTAACACACAGCCTATCTAGATACCAAATTTTAAACTAACATTTTCTCGCTATTTTATTAGGCTTATTAAACTTAGCACTATACTTACCGGTTACTAATAAAATTGAGTCTAATATTGGACTATTTATCAGCCTTACTAGGATTAAAATTAGGTGGTCTAAGCCTAAAGGTTTACACCAGTGGTATAGATGAGCCTTACTAGCTAACTAATAATTTTATTCTTGTAGAACCCAGTAAATCTCAGTACCGGCGTGAGGCACTGAGCTGCACATGTTTGTACTGTGCACCAGAGGCGTCAGGGAGGACGGGAGGGCTACTCTACCACCCACTGGAGCAGCGTCAGTAGCAGCAGCAGCGGTAGGGAGCGCTCCTCACCCCCCTCCCGTCGAGCCCTGAGCACCAACAGAGGCGCTCTGTTTACTCCAGAGCGTTCGTGTCATCTCTACATGCTACCGCCAGCAGCAGGCAGATGTGTGTGTGATGGTTGAAGCGGCAAGGCTCACCGCAAGCCACTCTAACGAGTCTAAATGGTGGAGCACAGGTGTGGGTGGCAGGCGGCAGGTCCTGCACCAGGCCCTGGGTGGATGTGTGTGTGTGCGGGTGACGGGATGAGGTGGGTGACGGGTGATGGTGATGGGTGCATGCTGGGGGCGAGAGGAACCAACACTCCCCGTGTTGCCGTGCCGTCGCCCGTCCACTGACTCACATTTCCCTCTCTTAACCTCGCCAACACATACTCATTATTCCTATTATAAGCATATTTATGAGGACAGTGAGGAGCA